TCGAAATTCGACACTGGTATTACCAATCACAAAGTATTGTACGTCGTCAGTAAAAAGATAAGAAGCTAAAGCGTCATAATGCATTCGTAATAGGATGTAATATAGTACTATTATTATTGTACTATTATATTATATATTATTGTACCATTATAGCACTATTGGCATTCTGAAGCACCAAAACGGTGTGTGGATTGCCCTCAAATCTGGCATGTTAGTACAGACAAAAATCCACACAATTTGTTTTTAATATGCCCAAATGACTCATTTTCGCTTAGGAATTTGACGATGATATAAATACGAATGAATGGTATGAATGAATGAATGACAAAGTAAATAGATATTATTATCACATTGTATTGTACCTATGAGTAATGATATGTGACGATGGGATAATCGTAAACACAAAATGCGTGACAACAGCATTCTATGCAGTGGCCTACATAATGTATCATCCGAGCGTTACACGGAGGAGTACATCACAAATAAAAGTACTTATTTGTTTTTCACAAAGATTCTCTCCCACACCACTGTTCTGAGACTTCCGTGAAGATTTGTTTTGATACACGAGTGTTGGTTGTGGCATTGAATGCGTCGTAATCGATTCTACTTCCTTTAGAACCACCACATAACTAGCTACACCACTAATAGAGGGTAGATTGTTTTTCTGAATATCTACGTAATAACACAATACAGAGTGTAACAATAAAGTATAGTAACACCCCTTGTGTGTACAAATTTTAGGTAGCAGTAGAGCTCCTTGCAGAAATGTTCGTCCAGGCAAGTATTACCACCTTACCTATTTCTGCCGCCAAGCAGTAATGTTGGCATTACTACGTTCCGGTTTTGAAGGGTATGGTTGCTGGCAAAATTACAGGCGCATGGGACTCTATGTCTCAGGGCGCGCGGTGCAGCGCCCCTTAGATATTCGCGACTTAAAACTCTGATCTCTGATCTCGCTAACCACCAGGCATATAGGTAACACTTGTTCATCCCGTTATGATATCATCCAAAAAGGGGTGATGAGTCACAAATAAATATAAAATTTCTATAGTAAAAACCTTAATAATAGAGATATTTTTAGTTTTCTAGCAGTAGAGTACCCTTTTCCACGCTAGCGTGCAAAAAACGCTTTTGCGCGCATATTTTTAATGAAAAAGAAAGCCTTTCCGAGCTGGTGAGGTGAAAAAAATTTTGTTTCTGTGTTATCAATATCATTAAAACATGAAAAAGCTTTATTCCCTACAAAAACTTTGCGTTTGTCGTCAGGACAACGAAAGGTTGAAATTTGCATACCATTAAAAAACGTATTCCATTTTCGAGTTTATTTTTATTTAAAGACAAAAAGTGAACATTATATTCAAATTAATAGTATAATTCAACCAAAATTGTACGAATTTATGACAAGGAAACTAGACATGTTCAAATTTGCGAGCTTATGCAAATACCACTATGTATTAGATATGTAAATAGGCAGCTTGGTATATTTACTCTTTTCTACATACTTGTAGCTCAATTAAACAGAACCTAATAATGTCAAACCAGAAACTTAATCTTTTTGAAAATTTGTTACTTAACGATGTGTTACTTTTTCAAACTCGTATCTTATAAAGAGTGATTATTCATCAGATGGCAAAACTTTCTATTTATTTTAAATTTCTTATCAATGGTGTTAATTTGGATGGATGACTTTAAGAATTGGTAAAAGCCAGTGTGTGAATATAAAGGAAATGTGATGAGAAATCTGCAAAATAAAAAAAAATCAACAAAACAATCTGTTATTTGCATTTCAGTAATTTTGTGCTGGTTTGAGAAAGTAAGGAGACGATATTATAATTTTAATCCACCGTCGTCGTCAAAGTATTACTATATCTTTTAGTAACACTTCATATTCCCTGTGGCTGCATTTTCAATAATAATATTAATTATGTTTCTCAAATTGGACATTATTTATTTCATCCGTGAGGTAAAGATAAGATCGTCTACTAATAATAATGATACAACAAAATTATTCTTGTTTGAAGCTCTATTAAGGAAAATACTTTATATATAAAACGATTTCTCTTGTCATTTACCTTGTTATTTACATACAGATAATATGCAAGTGGGTTTTACATGATATTATCCGCCTGGACCCAGAAAACTATAACAGGAAAAGCGCTAAACGCTCAATGAACGTACTAAGTTTGATTCAAATGCAAAAAATATATTTATATTTTGGATATTTTTGTACTAAATATAATTATATTTAGAATAATAATGTTTAGTAAATAATATATAAAAAAAAAATATTTTGTGCTAAATATAATTATGTATAGTAAATTTTAATGTGCATTGGGCGTTTAGCCCTTCAGGCTAAAGCAAGTATGTCCTCAATTTTGTATGAAAAATGTATATATGGTAACCCTATGGTCATATACATAGAATCTGAATGCGATATTATCATTATAATATACACTGAGTGTTTACGTGATCATTAATATTGTCTTGGTCTAATTCACTTCACTAAGTATGTATATTTTGATGTACATTATGATTTGGATGGACCTTAGGAGGATAAAGCAACAATCTGTCTTTGTGTTACGATTGAAATTAGTTACTTAACAACCAGGTTTGATTACAAAATTTCAGATCGATCTTTGAAACTTAAATGTGTAATGCTTCACTGCTTCACATTGGTGCGCGGTGAGAGGTAGCAACAACAGTGTCATAAAAATAATCTCCAATAGGCTGGACTGTCCGTTCATGAATCACTGCTGTGTGATTGTGAATGGCATCGGGATACGGTAATAGAGTTGTTAGTATTATTCAAAAGTTTTATAGATATAATATTGATATAACTAACATAACTATAAATATGTATCTAACAATTTTTTAATGTAAGTTAGCTGAAAAAAAATCGGAAAGTGTTCTTTTGTAAATAACACAGTTGCAGTGCCATTCAGAGCTTTAAATCGCAAAAGATCTGAAGGGCACTGCCACTGCGCCCGTCATCCTGACACATAAGTTGACAAGTCCCATGTGCCTGTAATTTCACCAGCACCCTTACCCTTCAAAACCGGAACACAATAATGCTGACATTACTGCTTGACGGCAGATATAGGTAAGGTGGCAGTACTACCATGGACGAATTTTATTACAAGGAACTCTGCTGCCGCTATTCATCACACATATGAATTTAACATTTGTTATTAAAATATTTATTATAGAATGAGCAACAATAAGTTAAAATATCGCACTGCTATTACAATCGTGTTGTAACTCAAAATATGTGATATACAATATTATATCATTACTGAACGTAAAATTTCATTCTCTACACGTCAATAAAACCACATTTAGAATATTGTAGGAAATAATTAAAAGATATCTACTTAACACCTAATGAGTTACACTTTATGTGAACTAATTCAGGCTAATTAAAAAGTTTTAAATATTCTTTTCCATTTTATTTTTAGTTATATTCGGCAAGTAGAAAGTTGTTTAAGTGTCTGTAATAAACTATAACCCATACATAAATTTTAATGGTCTTTCACGGGAAGTGAATGATTCGTTTCTCATCGTTTCTGAGAAAATACACTTTTTGAGTTAATACACTATTGTATTAACAGTGCGATATGCAGGTAGGGCAAAATAAAGACTTAAATACTAAAACTAGGGTAAAATTATACGAATAAAATTGAGTCCACGCGGCAAGGTGCCTAAGATGCTGGCAGCGTTCCCCCTTTATATTCCCACCCGACCGTTGGCTTACTCAATTTATTAATTCTTTGTATAAAATTTTGTACAGATGAAGGGCACCGGGATCAAGGGTTTCAACTCCAAAGGGTATTTGAGTGATCAGTGGTATCCGACATTTACACATATTGACTCGTCTGAGGCAAAACACAGTGTGTACATTTCCTTGAAATAAGTTATCTGACTCATTCTACGAGTAGCGTTCAATATACCGCAGGTTTGAGACTAAATCGATTCTGTATTATTCATAAATCAGCTAATTGGGTCACCCTATACAAAAAAGCATGAACATATTTTGTTATGACATACAGCAGCACAACAGTTGGCATCACACAAACAATCTTTTGTGACGGGACAAACATATGGTGGTAAGCGACATGTCTGTGGAGCTTTAAATCTCAAATACCTGAGAGGTGTTATCACTGACAGAGACATGTAATGACAACTTCTATGTGCCTGCAATTTCACCAACATCCGTATCCTTCAAAAGCGGAATGCAGTCAGTCGGAAAGCAGTAATGGGAGCATTACCTATGTAGGTACTGTTTGGCGGTAGAAATAGGTTAGGTGGCAGCACTTCCCTGGACGAACTCTTTCACAAGGGGCTCTAGTGCTACTAAATGTAGCTGATTTGACTACAGGCGAATGTTCGTTACTCAATGAGGCAGTATTGTAGCGTAATGCTCTAAATTCAATCTTGGACTACTACATTGCAAGCGAAGGTTTCCGGTGAAGGAGCGCCTTAACCCGTCACGAGTCTTAAAGACACACTGTGTCTCTAACGGTAAAATTTATTTTAAATTTTTATAAAATATAGTTAGTAATATAAAGGTCGAACACGAAGAAAAATTTCTTCGGTCTGTTAGAAATCGAAACAGCGACTTTTGCCAATTATAGGGCATCCTGTTTTTTTTAGAAACGGTGGATACACAGCTGCGCTTTAGTGACACCGTGTGGCCATAGAACGTTGCAATACCAAAATCATTAAGGACACCGTATGTCTCTAGAATGCTTAACGTGTTAAAGGTTAATGACACACAAACAATCTTCGAATAAGAAACAAAATAAAACTTACTAGGAAAATTGTTGATTTATTGAAGTTGGTACAAAGTTTGTGATAATGACTATTAAAAACAACATACTTCTCAGAATATCCACTTACGTGATTTTGAAGTTCAACAGTTCAAACACGCTTTTATAAAGATCGTGAAGCGGTCAACTCGTCAGTCGGCGTTTAACCGTTATACAGGCAAGACGAGTGTAACAAAAATACTTTTAAAAATGTATTTCTCTGTTATTGGTGTGTTATTGTTATGTGGGGGTGCATTTTCGCATACTTACCATTTGGGTGCGTGTCCCATAGTTGAACCCATGCCAGGATTTGAAATGAATCAGGTAATATTTTAATACTACGTTATATATAACAGTTCAAAGGTCCTTCTGATCCCTCGTAGAGAGCAGTCCATTATTCAATAACGTTGTATTGTTAAGTTATTGTTAAGGAGGAAGATCGAATTTAGGGAAGGTCATTTTCGCTCTACTTCACTATCATTGGGTGCCTAACTATAAAATTTTTTTCATGACAATCATTTTGCCTTTGGAAAATGTCAATCAATTTAATTTCAGTAGAGAGTATAAAAAACCGACCTCAAAAGTTCGTGGAATTACATCTAATTGCGTAGTTTTCTTGCAATCGGTTATCGGAGATTGCGCGAAACTGGATTCATCCCTGAGTTTGCCGTACTTAGAGGTGGAATATTTTCTTCAAATTTAAATGAGATCAATACTGAGGTACCTTCTTTCCAACAAAAAAAGAATCATCAAAATCGGTTCACAAAGGGCGGAGTTATCGAGTAACATACATACAAAACAAGCCTCGAATTACGAGCCTCCTCTTTTTTTTTAAGTCGGTTAATAAACTGAACTGTTCTTAACGGTACTGTATCATACGAGGGTAGGTACATTCATCATACATCTATTTAATAATTTGCTCGTAAACATCGACAAAATTTCCATAACTCTGCGCAAAACTCTTCTCTAGTACTTGCGATCTTAATTAAAATTTACCAACATTAATTAATATTTGTTTTGACATATTTTTAATGTATTTCCAATGTACTTTAATAGGCCTTGAAATTATCAACACAAAGGTGCAAGTGAAATTGTAACGTAATTATAAATTTATGCTCTTTGGTAGAAAGTTGTAGTAAGAAATGAGAGGCTGGAGATAGTTGAACAGTATGTTTGCCATATTCTATCCGTATAAAGAGCATCAGCAAAATGAAATCTCAAAAAGCATACAACTGGGATGGACTACATTCGGTAGGCGTTCTAGCTGCAGCAGAGCTTGTGAAAGAGTTCGTCCAGGGAAATACTGCCACCTTACCTATTTCTGCCGCCAAGCAGTAATGTTCATTACTGTGTTCCGGTTTTGAAGGGTAAGGGCACTGGTGAAATTACAGGCACATGGGACTTGTCAACTTATGTCTCAAGGTGACGGCCGCTTATTTAACCAATGTGTCTTGCCCACTATGACTTACAGTGCCGAGACGTGGACGCTCACACAGAATGCTGTGTACAGAATGAGAGTCGCACAAAGAGCCATGGAGCGAATCATACTCGGTATCATACTTATAGATCAAGCTCCGAATTCCAAAACCCGTAGACGAACTAAGGTCCAGTACATAGGAGAGCGGACAACGAGTTTAAAATGGATCAGGGCGAGACGTGGTGAACACAGGTGGAGTAAGGCGATAACCGAATGGCGCCCAAGAAATGGATGTAGAAACGTGCGATGTCCTGTAGCGAGATGGTCATTGTCAAAGTTGCGGGCAGTAGATGGGTGAGATTAGCACAGGATCGTGGTGGACAGCAAAAACTACGGGAGGCCTATACCCAGCAGTGGGTGAAGTCGGGCTGTGGATGATGATGATGGCAGACAGTTAATGAAGTTTGGCCTATGTAGAACTATAGATAAACGTGTATATTTTGGATATTTTATGTACTCGTATATTTTGGATGGAATTATTAACAAGAACACGATAAGATCGAGATTGATCACGTAGTGTTATAAAAATAACTATCTTTACATTGTAATAATTCAGTTTAATGAATATCAAAATGTTTTACTACCTTGACTTTCAATTATATTTGTGAAATTACTCCACTAGTCCAAACTATACATAGCAGTTAATATAACAATGATTCGTAATAATAAAAATAATAATAAATAAAACAATAATAATTAGTATCAGTAGAGCTCCTTGTGAAAGAGTTCGTCCAGGGTAGTACTGCCACCTTACCTATTTCTGCCGCCAAACAGTAACGTCAGCATTACTGCGTTCCGGTTTTGAAGCGTGAAGGGGCTGGTGAAATTACAAGGACATTTTTTTAAAGATACCAAGTGGCGGGATGAACAAGTCGTGCGCCTGATGGTAAGCGACACGCCTATCCATAACAGTTACAGTGTCATTCAGAGCTTTAAATCGCAAAGATCTTTAAATGGGCATTGCCACTGCGCCCGTCACGCTAAGATATAAGTTAGCAAGTCCCATGTGCCTGTAATTTCACCAGTACCCTTACCTATGTAATTTTTGAACTTATGTCTAAGGATGACAGGCGCAGCGGCAGAATCCATCATATCTTTGCGATTTAAAGGTCTGAGTGGGACTGCAACTATTATGGTCACGCGTGTCGCTTACCACCAGGCGCACGAGTTGTCGGTCCTGTTATTTGATATTATTAAAAAAAAAAACAAAAAATATTATAAATGCGAAAGTAACTGTTACCAATGAAATATATACTGCAGAACCAATTTTGATGAATTTTGGTGTTAAGACAGATGGGACCTAGAAAAAGAACATAAGCCAATTTTTATCACAAAAATAAATCTTAAATAGGGTGAAATAGGGGATGAAAGTTTTTATGGAGAACCATTAAAACTATGAAAATTACTACGGTACAGTAGGCTCGAAATACTTAGGCTGCTAACAGACTGAGTCGAGACGTCAACTTGATAACGATTTCACGCATTTGATAACGACTTCACGCATTTGATAACGACTTCACGCATTAACTGCATGAAGTCAGTTTCGACTTCTTGCAATTATTGCGTGAAGTAGTTTTCCGGCGACCTGGACTGCGTGAAGTTGGAACCGACTTCACTTCACTCGTTATCTACTTCACGTATTAACTGCAAACATGCAGTCAATTTGTTAGTGGCGTTATTCTACGCAGATAAAGTCGCGGGCACCAGCTAGTTAGTTATAATTAGTAATACAAAGAAAAATGCCTTCGATCCGTCTGGACTCGAACCAGCGACCTCGTCATACCGTGCTTGACGCTCTTCCAACCGTGTTAAGAAACGAACTAGCAGATTTTGTGAATTGTCTTTACACTGTCCAGTTAAAAAGTTATAAATATAATTTATGACATTGCAAATTAAAACCGTTTTAACTACGACATAAGATTGATATCAAACGTGTATTAATAAATAACGATTCCGGATAAACTACGCAGGAAGGCTTTGAACTTTGATAGTATATATATGTTGCTTGTAGGTAATTAACTTTTATTGTATGTCACATTGTTCTACTGCCATGATATTCAATTATCTTTTATGAAATTACTCCACTAGTTTTTTATAATATCTATGGTTATAATTATTAATACAAAGATCGAACACTTAGAAAAAAATCCTTCGACCCTGCTGAATTCGGACCAACGTCTTCTAGCAAACCGTGCCAGACGCTTGCCAACTGAGCAAATATGTTTTTTTTTATAAGATGCCAAGTAACGGGACGAACAAGGTGTGCGTTTGATAGTAAGCGACACGCCTGTCCATAACAGTTGCAGTGCCACTCAGAGCTTTAAAACACAAAGATCTAAGAGGCACTGTCACTGCACCCGTCACACGGAGACAAACATTGATAAGTCTGATGTGCCTGTAATTTTACTAGCACCGTTACCGTTCCAAACCGGAACGCATTAATACTCACATTAATGCTTGGCGGCAGAAATACGTAAGGTGGCAGTACTATCCTGGACGAATTCTTTCACAAGGAGCTCTACTGCTACTAAATGATTCATGTTTAATACAACGCCATTCACATTACAACAACACGGTAAACGTAATAATTCTAAAATAACAAGACTGTGAGTCAAGAGAAGATAACGTCTTCCAATAAGTAAACAAAGGGATCTTGACCTTTAGCGATATGATAATATGAGTAATTAAGATAACACAAATTAAAATTTAAAAAACCCGATACAAAATAGTGTACTCCAGAAGTCAATAAAGTCACCCTCTGTAAGCCTAAGCTAACAACTCGTCGAGACCAATTTAATGAGCCCAAACACGTTCACATATAAGTAGCTGAGAATATTTTGTAGACTGTCCTGATTGGAGTATCTAATCAAGATTACCTACCATGTAATGCGCAGGCCACATCGCGAACGAAGCTAAGCTATCTTAGCTTAGTTCACGTAGCCGGGGAATCTTTTCATACTTCGGTTTATACCGCGAACTAAGCTAACCGAGCCAACTAAACTAACCTGATGATCCGCTAGCAATGTAAAATATGTCGCCCATCTGCCGCCCTTCACCCCCGCACGTATCCACAGTCACGCGTATTTTCTTAGCTTCGCTTGCAACTACGTGAGCTTAGCGAAGTTTGCCAGTTTCGTTTGCGGTGTAGCCTGCGCTTTTGTTGTAATGCCATCGGATTTCAATCAAACAAAGTCAATCTGACAAGTGGAAGTAAGACGAATTCATTTTAAACAGCTGAACTAACGTTTATCAAATAGCTAAGGACCATTCTGATTAAATGAGCCTTGAAATAAAAAAACACTATGAGATCAGTCCGGGACGCGTTTCGGAGCTACAATGCCACAGACAGACAAACGCTACACAGATAACACTCTCACTCATAGCAAAACCTGTATCGCGAGTGCCATGGACACACACATAGACAGCCATAAATTGCCGAGACAAATAAATGTAGGCCATATAAATATTTCTCCTGGCCCGGGAATCGAACCCGGGACCTCCACATGGCAGTCCAGCATGGTAACCTTTCGGCCACAGAGGTAGTCGATACACAGACAGAGGCTTTAAACTTATTGTAACTCCCTTTTTTGCGTCAGGGTTTCAGTCAGTGATAACAGAGTCGTTATGACTTTGACTGATTGGAAGATCGAAATGGGGTGATTCAGTCATACTGTATACCTAATAGTCATCTAAGGCCACAAATCTCCACTCGATACGTGACAAACCTCTTTCTAATCAGGCTTTTCATACATTTATTCCTGTACCTGTTCACTCTTGGTGACTACAGAGATTGGCAATTAAAAAAAAGAAATGCAATCTTTTTTTTAATTGCCAATCTCTGTAGTCAATAGCTCCTGTGTGTGCAGAAATCGAGTAGCAATTTGTCATTTCTTAAACTCCTAGCAACACTAAATAAATAAATAAATTTAGAATGTTTGAATGAAACTTTCAGAATTTTTACAACTATTACATAAAGTGTAATAAAGACAACCTGTGTATAAGTACTAGATGTTTAGTACCTATGTACTCCACTTGCCGGTCTTGTGCAGCAAGCAAATAGCTATTATAACTGAAGACTGAAAATCAACAATACGACGTCTTCATCCTTTTTGTCCACATTACTGTTTTACTATTCAATGGTGACTTATATTATGGTTTATGTGTTTTGTGGATAAACCAATGACTTTTTATTTATTTATTAATCGAATCGAGATATTTATCCACTGACGTCTGTCCTGTCCCCAAGCTTCTATTAACATTCTCTGTATAAATTTGTGCCATCAATCTGCTAACATAGGTTTTTCTTCTTGACCAAATCATGCATACATTCCTGTTTCTTTCTTGGTCATTACGTCATATTTCAATCTCTAACGCTCTTTTCCTTCTTCTTCCAGTCATATCGATACCTCTTTCTGTTTGGGATTATTTATTTATCTTGATTGCGCTATCTGTGGCCACGTGGAGAAGTTCCCTCATGTAACGCGTTCAAGATTAATTATCTATGTTAGTGGCAATTCAGCAACTCGCAACACTGCCAGAGCAGAAATGCTTTTCCCGTACTACGAATTACGATGTTACTGTACCGGTGGTCATGCTCAAACCGTAGAGAAATCTCGTAATTTTCGGGAGAACATTTTCAATTCCAGAAAACGTATTTAGTATTTCTGTTTGTACAGTTCTATTAAATATAGTCTACAGCACATATTTTAATCTTAGAGAGCGTGAAAATAAATTTAAATTGAAATCAATGCAACTAATGTTAGGAACCGGTTTAAACTCTAGTGTCAAGTTGTGTCCACAACATATGTACTTTTTAATGTAGTAATGGATGAGTGTACTCTAGATCATCACAATGGTATAAGCCGATTGGAGATGCATGAGTACTATCCTCTTAAAGTATTATGAACCTTCAGGTTTCTAACAGACTTTACATTTTAAAAAACTTCACGACAAAACGTTTTTGATACATTCAAACAATCCATCTAACCGATGCAGGTGTGACATTGTCTGTTTTCCCAACGACCACTTCATTGTTCTCGTAATACTGACGAACCAGCGTTATTGACTTTTTGGCGTATTATTCGGTCGTGTAGTACCTGACTTGATAATCTAATAGGGCACTATTACGCTACCCTTTACAATGCGGATAAAACCGGAAGGGCTTTTGTGAGCGAAGTTTGTAATTAGTAAATAAGTATTTTTCCTGTACTTTGTTTAGTAAAAAAATTTTCTTATCATAGATTTTAAGGCCGTTCACACCATCAGTAATCATAAAGAAATGGTGGCCACAGAAGGGAACCCTGGGGTACACGGCCATTTTTACACTTTTTTGATACTGAGGATTCGAAATGGATAGGCAAAAGCCAAGAATTCTAAGGGGTTCTAAGTACTTACAAGTGATTCTAAATTTGCCCTCGTCTCCATATTGCGGAATGATACTGAACAAATGTTGCTATTGAAAACATAATGTATTGAAAACATAACGTTAATGTGAAAAGTTAATAGAGCCATCGAGTTTATAATACAAAATTCAAAAGAAAAAACAATTATGAAGCTGTAAGATGAACCAAAACGTCGATAAGAACAATCCCATCTGGGCTTTTTTGTTTTATAATATCAAGTGACAGGACGAACAAGTCGTGCACCTGATGGTAAGCTACTCGCCTGTCCATAACAGTTGCAGTGCCACTCAGAGCTTCAAATCGCAAAGATCTGAGGGGCACTGAAATTGCGCCCGTCACCCTGAGACAGAAGTTGACAAGTCACATGTGCCTGTAATTTCACCAGAACCCTTACCCTTCAAAACCGGAACATAGTAATGCTAACATTACTGCTTGGTGGCAGAAATAGGTAAGGTGGCAGGACTTCCCTGGACAAATCCTTTCACAAGGAGCTCTAATGTTTACAAAAATATAATTTCAAATGAATGCAATGGTGTTTGCAGTTACATTCAAAGAAATTCTTAAAAATCACCTTAGAAACATCAACTTTAAGTCAGTCACACAAGGGACATTTACCATATCTAGAGATATCACAAACACAGCAGCGTGCTAATTCTCTTAAAACTATGTAAAGAGAACCGGAATTCGCATTATACAAAGAATTTCTTTGTCCGGCTGCGTCCAAAAGAATTACTGTCAAATAAGTAACAGACAACCATATCAAGAGACAATGTCAAGTATGAAGCTTCATTCGCATCATGCATCTTTTAATGTGATCGAGTATTATTTTTTGGCAGTAATTCTTTCGGACGGATGTCGAACAGAGAGCACACAGGGTACATAGAGTCACCCCGTTCTACCAACTGAGGAATCGGCAGACGTTACAAATTTCTCTATCTTTGTTACAAATCTTTTGTATTGGGGTTTTGGAGGAAGCAGGTTCGATTCTAATCCCTGGAGGACATTACTGCTTGGCGGCAGAAATAAGCATGGTGACTTGGTGGCACTGCTATGGACGAACACTTTCACAAGGAGCTCTACTGCAACTAAACTAAAAATGTCATAAAAATTTGTCAGATTTTATATAAAATTGTTTTCCATAATATTTGCATCCTATGGATCTGTTTATATTACTATATTTTACTCAAAATGTTTTCAGATGTTGGGCGTGTGGTACGTGATCCAGAAAACGTCTACTGCATCCCACTGCATCACGTACAACTTCACTAAAACTGACGAGCCTGGTAAATACCAGATCGAACAGATCTCTCAGCACTTCATATTGGGTTTGACGCCATTGAAGCATGATTACAGGTAGCTAACCATAATAATCGTTTAGGCCTTGGGAGAGGCGAGAGTCTTAAATACATAATAATAATAATGTATTTATTTCCGAATGTTGTCCATAGTGTTATTAACTAATTATCTTAGGAATAGTGTTAGTCGGCTTGAAAATAAAATAAAATGAAAAATTAAATCCTGGTGTGGAGTTGCAGTCAATGCTGTAATAATGGAGAGTCCCACTAGATTATAAACATACTCAAGAGTCCGTTGGCGCTGCCGCCAAGGCGGGCTTGCATGGAGGCGCAACGTCTTCGGCAGCCCCAACAGAACCCTAAATTCGAACTCAAGATGACTGCTAATCTCCGTACTACAGACTGTAACTCTGAAAAAGGCCAAAATTCTGTCTTATATCGTCTTATATCCAGATGGCGTTGATTAATAGCCTAGAAGTAGTTTATATTATGTAAATTCATCCTTAATTTGAAATATAAGTAGTCAGTTTTTCCCTTGTAATATTATTCAAATATTGATCATGAGATGCTATTGTGTGTTACAAACTAATTTATAAATTAACGCTTCATAATATGGTTATTGTAGATGACGCTAATCCTAAATAAAATAAAAGAATAGCCGGCACTATCTTCAAAAAAACAAAAATTGGTGCAAATAGCGCCATCTGGTTGATTTTTTTTTATCACTAGAAATTAGAGTAGCTTTGATAAATTGTAGCTTGTCAATGTAAAACAAATTAGTTACAAAAATAGCTATTTGGTACTCGTCGTGACATCTGGCGCACCAATTGGATAAATACCCGACTACGATGTCTTGTATCGCGATTAGCAGTCCTTTTGAATTTTGGTTCAAGCTAATGCTCTAGATAAGGAATCGCATCTTATTATATCAAGGAGAGTATAATAAGGTCACATCTTTTTAACTCCTGATTTTACAATGCCTGTAGTTGGTAACCTATCACAAACTCGAATTTCTTTTTCCGAAATAACGTTTGTTCGAATTTTCATTACATAGAAAACCGAATTATAACGAAACACTTGTTATTTATATTTATATTATTCATTGCAAATACTCGATTAGGGTCCGTTAGGTTTGGTTAAGTTAGGTTTAAAAGAAAAAAACATTTTCCTCTCAAAATTATTTTCGAGATTATGAAAATTCAAGCAAACGTTATTTCTGGAAAATGTCATTTCGGACTGCAAATAGGTAACCCTGTGGTTCTCACACCGAGATCAATATATGTGTAGTTTATGAAGTTATGAAAAACATCGGGAGTAAGGAAGGTAAATAAGGCCTCACCTGCAAAATGACAACTTTTCAGGACAAACGTTTGAAGATTCTACGAACGCAATTTGTCGGTAACTTTTTCATGCTTAAATAGATATGTGAAGAAATAGATATCTCACAGATGGCGCTACGACAAAAAAACTCGTTAAAAAACCAAAACATAAACCTGCAACGAAAACATAGAAAAATTCATAAGGTTCGCTGGTTTATTCTGTGGCTTAGTCGGCATAGCGTCTGCCACGATTTGCTAGAAGACATTAAACAGCCGAATCGAAACAGACTAGTGGAGTAATTTCGCAAAAAATAATTGAATATCATGGTCATGAAACATTCTGCAATGCAATAAACTTAAAATTGTTTATTTGTTTTCAGATACACCGGCACTCTGACAGTACCAGACCCAGCTGTGCCTGCAAGGATGAAAGTTCGCTTTCCGCTCAGTAAGTACTTGAAGGATGTTTATAGAGCAACTCAGTCCGTTTTATTTATTAATAAATTGTTTTGTATTTAAAGCTAAACAAAAGAAATTAAAGAATTTTTGTACCTATCGTATTGTAATCGATTATAGCATGTCCATCAGGAGTAGTCGTTGTTTAATTTTATTAATACCTTGCGCTGGGATATTAATAGAACACAATTTTTGATGGCATATGCATTGCCTATTTTCAATTCGGTTAGACATATGCCTTATAAGAAAATTTAACAATAAAATTAAAAATAAAATTGCTCGTCATATATTTCCAGGCGTCGCAGGCTCGGCGAGTTACACAGTAATGGCGACTGACTACTCAACATACGCGGCGATCTTCACGTGTCAGAAGCTTGCGTTTGCGCATAGAAGATCAGCCACCATCTTGTCCAGAACAAAGGAGCTTGATAGAATCTATGTTGACAAGGTTAGATGCGTTATAGATCATTCAGTTTTTTTCGTAGCGTGGCAGCTAGGATGTTGCGTTTTTATATCATTGATAATACTTCTCAGTGCGACAATTTAAAGTCATTATAATTTTATTAAGAGCTACTTAATAAGATGATGATTATTCTGAACACGAATACAATACGGACATTTTTCAGATGCGTGCCAAGCTATCTTCGTACGGCGTAGACCCCTATGACCTATCACTGATCTCCCAAAGCGAATGCCCAAAACACCCGAACGGCACCACGGACGGTGTCAACATTAATATCAACCCTGACACCTTCTCCTCTCAAAGCATTGGAACGGCTGTCAGGAACACTGGGGAAGTTATTGGTGAGTGAATATGAGTGTTAATTGTTTGACTTGAGATCGATTGCCTGAAGTTATTTTATGCCATAGAGTGTGGCGTCACTACTGAGCTAAACAAGACTGAGTGTTTTAAAACCCATTCAAGAATTGGGGACTTTTATTATTAGTCTTGCAACAAAGTTCCGAATTATGACTTGATTGTTTTGGACCTTCTTTGAAACTGATATAAAATGCTAATAATTTTCTCATTCTGTCCATCTAAACAAGGCACAAATCATGTCAGACAAGAATGTTGGTTTTTTATTAGTTACCATTGCTAATTTTACAGTGCTGTAAGTAATAGTCTATAGGATCGAGAAGTGGACGTTGTGTGCGATTGTTTCTTTGCCGTTTGAAAAAGATTTTTTTTAAATCGATATTTCAAATAGAAATATACCAAAATCAAAATGGTTTCCGGCCACGATTTTGGGCAGAAATGGGTTAAAACTGGACGCTTTAAATAAAAATTCTAAGAGCGGACTTTTAATCTCCTTTAACAGGAAAAGCGCTAAACACCCAACATTACAATATATTATATATAATTACATGCTTCAAGCCCAAGAAAGTGCGCCCTCAGTTTTGTATGAAAACATATTTTTCTAGATACACTATGATCATGTAGAATGCATAGTGCTAAATTTGAATACGATATTTTCATTTTAATGCGCACTGGGAGTTTCCGTAATTATGGGAATAATAAAGATTTAGATCCGAAAAAAAAGTTTTCATTTACTATGTGTAACAATTGCAAAAACCTAAGAACCCGATCATAAATTATCGACAAAACTGTCATCTATTTCAGCTGACGGCGTCGAGTATGTTGTAACTGCGGGCAAGAAGGTGTACAACAAGGTTGCGAGCAGCAAGGAGGACCTGACTGAATCTCCATCTGGAAACGCGAGGAGCCTTGACGCTGATGCCGAGTGGTTGCCATGATGAGGCTGCTGTGCGTTGAAAAGTTTACATTATGAAATTTAGATTGGAATACAAAAAGTAAGATCAAAAGAATAATTATTTAGGCTCGATTTAAGTTGCCGTGGAACAGTATAGTAGCTTTTTGTAACGAAATTGTACATAGCATAATGAACTCTGTGTCTATTGTATAACGTACAGTGGATACCCTAAGACATGTGACAACCTAGCTTAAATTTTAGTTTTGAGTAGATAAGTGTGAAGAAAAGTGTTAAACAAACTTAAGTTTTAACCTGTGAGCTGTAATATTAATTTGACTTTCTTATTGCATCATTAGTGCTAACGCTCTAAGAACTTTTTAAGCCAATTGTCTTCAATTACATTACATTCGAAAAAGCTTTCGATCGTGTGGACCACGACATCTTCCTCCACAAATTGAATACACTTGGTGTCCACGGAGATGTACTTCGTTGGGTACAATCGTATTAGACCATTCGCTCTCAAGCTGTGGTTCTGGGGGGATTTAGATCTGATTACATTTTAATACCATCTGGCATTCCTCAAGGTTCGCATCTTGGTCCTCTCTTTTACAACGCTTATATTTTTGACATTAATACACACATAATGAATGCTAAACATTTACTTTATGCCGACGACAAAACGATCTACATGCGTGTGCGATTCATTGCTGACTGTGAGCTATTATTACAAACAACTCTGTACAATTATTATATTAACAACAGAATCACGGTCAGTACTGGTAAATGTCAATGCATTAGTTTTATTACCAATACCGGTCGCGCGACTTTCAAAGAATTCTCGCCCAGACTCGGGACATAAAGTTCATTATGGTTACAAAAAGTAAAACAATTTTGTTCCTCGGTAATGTAAATTGAGCTCAAGGATATGATATATTAAATATAATAATTTTGAATGTGGATCGTGAACATCTATTTCACCTTTGGTGTGTAAGTACGTTCTAAATCATATACTTTGGTATGATTTTCGTTTTTGGGGTGCTATTTACCTACATTCTATCGTACATCTAACTTTGAATTTCACTTAAGAGAATTGGTATTTCAAAATTCGCGTCAGTTTATCATTAAAAAAGTCCTTAAAATTATTCAGAGATTTTCGTGGTTCACATTTACTAAATGATTAATACTATGTTATATCTTTTTAATATTGTATCGACTAAAAGTGAATACAAAAAGACAGTCAAACAGAGGGTACACAGATATGTCTGTTCTTAAAGCTGTCATCTACCGTAGGCCAGTGAAACCACGACCGCGTGGCGTGTAACTGTGTATGGCAAAACACCTGCAAAAAGAGCATTAATTGCGCATCAAACTTCGTCGACCGACAGCGACAGCACGCTTGTCAGTCACGCCGTACTGTATAACAAAATCTTGTAAATATTACTCGAGTAAACCCAAAAAAATTGTTAGTGAAAAAAAAATCAACAAAGACGAAAATTACAATGAAAAGCCCGTTTTTAAGCTGTAAACCATCTAATGTAATCATAATGTAAACAAGAAGTTTAGTAGAGACAGTAGAAGGAATAACGTAGAACAGTTACTACTGTTGTGAATGTAGAATAGAATAAATGAAACAACGCAATGTTTTGAAGATGCTATCTCTTTTTATGAAGCTTTAATACTCAACTCATTATATTACAATATAGAATACGTTTTGTTTATGTATTAGGCAGGTAAAAGAATAAATTCATTGCATCTGTCTCTTTCTTCTTCTTATCCTAAAGATGGCTTGCACTATAATGCTTACCATCATGGCCAAAGGATTTGTCAATCGGCGTAAGGTACTTTTCGATTGTTGCCCAGGGTGTAGGAAAGGAGTCGTAGGTCGTGCAGGGACGCTCCTTTCGTGTAACCCAATAATATGTTTCTTTAAAGAGAGGACATTTAATTTTAGTACTAGAGCTTACAAATTCTAATAGAGTTTTATAAATTTACCAACAATATCTATGTGTACATTTGAAATTTACTCATAAAGTAAATGCAAGTAGTCTGAAATGATTGAAGGGCCATTTTTAAACCACAGCTTGCTGATGATTTTTAGGCATTTTTATAGTAAAACAGCTGTTTTGTTTAGGTTATATTTTTACGTCTATTTTTGGAAATAGACAAGTTTTATTGACAAATTGTCAAAATAAGTGTTGGTTAGTTTAACAGATGTGCAGCTTTAGGAATCTCTCTACGTATGAGACCAATGGGAATAAGGATAAAACATTAAATTTATTCGTACAAGTCTCATGCATGGAATTTTTGGGTAACGATTGTTCTATGTGGAACTGAGTACATGGAACTACTGGGAATAAATCCAGTAGAAAAGGACAGAAAATGTCTGTCCTTTTCTTACTGATATTGAAAGAGACGATGCACTAAATTAAGTTCAGTTTATATTTATCCGAACTATGTTTGGTCGGGAATATTTAATATTAATTTTGTATTTTGCCATAAACAATAAATTGTAGACCTAAATACTTTTGTACAAATATAATAAACGTAATGATGTTTAAATTGTGTTTTTGTCCATTGTTGATCCTTAGATAAATAAAAATTTATCTTGTCGGCTACATTTGAAAACCTCAACTGCGGCATGGTTAATATTTTTCAAGTGTAGTATGTATGTACGTATGCATGTCCATTTCTTTTTCACGCTGTACAGCCTAAACGGCTTGATGGATTTTGACATATGAGGTGTCGTTAGATTCATCTTGATTGTCATGGACTATAAAAATTAATCAAAATAAGGGTTTTTTTTTATCTTTCCAGCTAAGTATTATTGCATTCGGAATTTTTTTTTTTTTAAATAATTTGTAGATTTGTTAATCATCAAGCTCAATATCGGACACTTAAAGCTTAAAATATAATTTCTAGACCTTTTTTAGTTATGAAATAAAGGTACAATCATAGATTGTCACATAATTATTTTTAATAATTCTGTTTATTGTGCCTAATCAACAGTTCACATTAATGGAGATTACGAGGTTTACGAATGTAGCCCACTAGTGTACACCTGATCGACTAGAATATTTATTTCTTTATTTATTTCTTCGTAATATTAAGAACATTTACATAAACTTATTACGCAGCGTGGGCAGACCACTCACAAAGTGGACCGATGACCTGACGAAGGTTGCGGGAATCCCCAAGATCGGTCGTTGTGGTGATCTCCAGGTTGCCTTTTACACGGACGCTTTTCCGTGTAAAGGGGGCTGATCGAGTGTGATCAGGAGCGTATAGGATTACGCACAAGAAACCCTGCATGCGCAAATATGCGCGATTACCTGTTTAAAGTTTTTAGGCAAATTTTGTTTCGCGCGCGTTTGCTCGTGTTTTTATTACAACGAAGAGCGTCAGTGTAAAAGGCAACATTGGAATGCACGATTGCACGCGCGACGTATTACACAAAAAATACAGTCGAATGAAAACCTCCTCCTTTTTCGAAGTCCGTTAAAAATGAAGTGTGGACTTAACGTGGCTTTATAGTGCGAACGGAACGAATTTCTGGTTTAGGGCTATATCAAATTGTACATAATACGAACGCACTAGTTTCCTGTGCTGGATGCAGAAAGTCAAGAACGAGACAGTACTCCTGCGCATGAACACCATCAAGAAGCGCAAAATAACGTATCTCGGTCATGCGCCTCGACACGATAAATACCGACTGCTTCAACTTATAATTGTTGAAAGCAAGAGACGCGCTGGAAGACGTAAAAAGCCATGGTTACGCAACAGAAGGGAGTAGACCGGAATCACGAGCTCTTAACAACTGTTTCATTTGGCCATGGACCGGTACAAATTTGCCATATTGACGGCCAACCTCCAATAGTGGAGAGACATTTTAAGAAGAAGAAGAAGAAGTTTCCTTTACATAATTTTAGCATGAAATATTCGAACACTTGTGTTGCACTGTAGTTATTTATACAATACCTATTTACATAACGACCGTCAATCTTAATTGAATCTGCATTAAAAATACAATTACTTCACTAGATCAATGAATGTACATAATTAATATGTAAGTACATGTATACAGTGTACTACTAGTTAATTTAAAAGTGGTGTATTGAATGTACATTAGAATACCTTACGTCAAATAATATTATTTGTTATATCGTCGGGGGTTATTTCACAATAGCGCGTAACTAGCATTTGATTGTGAGCCTCCATTTCGGTAATTTAGTCGCCAAATCAAAACCGCGTAAATGTCGTGGCAACCAAATTAGAGTGATTTACTTGAATCTATTATTATCAGTCCGTAGACCACATAAATTGATGCTACTGTGCAAAAAAGAAAGTCGTAGCCTTTGCCGTTAAATCCCTCTCCTGTGAAATTTGCAAGTCTAAAGGCAGTCTCAAATCTACAGGCAGGGAATTCAACTCCATAGTCGTACGCCATATAAATGTGGAAGCGAAATGGTTCGTGCGAATTCTTGGAATATCCACATCATAGGGGTAGAACCTGGACCCCCGATGGTGGAAAGAGGAAGGCGGAATTAATTCGTGGAAACCACTCGCACACTCTCCGTGACATGTCCTGTAGAATACCGATAAGCTGGCAACTCTACGGCGGTGTTCAAGGTTTTGCAGCTTCGCCTCTACTAATTCTGGGTAATATGAAACTCTTATCTTATCTGATTTTGATTTCACGCGTAAAGTCGAGTTAACATAGTTACGATTCGGGATTGTTTTTTCTAGTCATCAGTTCACTTCTAATACACTAATTACACGGTTTAATTGACAGGAACGTAAATAATAACCAAAAAAATCACGGAAGGGTCGAAAGTAACGCCCTTGAGGTATATTTATTCAATGACAACGCAGCTGAACTTTGTTTGTTTTATTTCATTTTGTTGTTGCGCGTGAGTAGAGAGACGCTATAGTATAATTCGTTCTAAAATACGATCGCGTTTTTTAATGTCATTCATTGCCAGTGTTGTCAGAGCTGTTAAGTCGAAAATTAAGTTTCATTACTTGAAAAGTTATATTTTTACCTCAAAAGTTGCAAATTTAAATAAGAACCTTGAAGTCATGTACCAAGTTTAGATTTTGCTGAGTGGCCTGAATAAAGAGCACATCAACCTTGACACTTTGAACTTTGGACCGTTCTTATCGTAAGCGGCATAGAGTTAGATTTAAATCTTAATTGTCAAGCTTGACGTGCTCTTGACTCTGTACGAGATTTTAAGGCATAATTATGTAGTACTTGCAGACAATACTTTTTCTATGATAAAATTAAAATAATAAAACATAACCAACCATTATTTAAAGATTACTGTTAACAATTCACGTCAACTAACTCAACGAAAGCCAAATAAACGCTACAAAACAAAAACCCAAAGAGATACATAGGGCGCACTATAAGTTTCCGGAACTGGCCACTTACATAAACAATATTTAAAAAGTAATTACAACATTTGAAAATGGAATTCTTTGGCCGTAGAGTACAGTTTGTTTCATCTGACTGTCACTTGTTTTTACATTGTGGCGTCATTTTAGAAATTGGTTGTCTACATCACCATGGATTTAACTCGTAAAAATTTTCATAGTATGATTTTCTACGACTTTAAGTGTCCCAGCTTCGGTCCGATTCAGACTGCTTTTGGCGATGGAGCACCATGCAAGACGACTATTTATAGCTGGTTTGCAGAATTCAAACGCGGTCGTGTGAATCTCAAAGACGAATTTCGTGATGGTCGCCCGTCCACTGTTGTGAACAACAAAAACATCGATGCTGTGTGCAGTATAAACAAAACAGACAGGCATGTGACATACCATGAGATTCGGGCATCTTTAGGCACAGGCATGAGTCAAATACAATTAATACTACACAAACATTTGGGTGTGAAAAAGCTGTGCTCTCGGTGGATCCCATACAATTTGACTGAGGCTCAAAAAACGGATCGTGTCCCTTGGTGCAATGTCATGCTTACCAGATTCAACGAAGGGGAGTCAAATTTGGTGTAGAACATAGTAACAGGTGACAGACGGACGGATGGATTTATAGTATACGGTCTTTCGAGATGTGCCGAACGAAATCAACCAGAGTGGCGCGCGTGCAAAGTGCCTGTAAGCGTATGATTGCTTCTTGTTTTTAATAAAACTGGACACTGGTCTTAGAGTATTCCTTTTTTTTCCATCCTCTAAGATGGTTGCATGCTTAGATTATGGACACCAAAGGACATGTTATATTAACTTAAATAAATCAGATGCTATTTGTATATGATGAATTTAGACGGTGAAAACATAAACAACTGCGTGCCGTCTTAAGCCAAAAGAGATAGCACTACATTGATTTATGTCCAACACGGGAATCGAAAATACGTACGTCATCTTAAATGCCAACTGTCCTCACTTTACCATTATTGGAGTACCCTTTGACATCCGTATCCGGTCAAAGGGATGTACATCAAAGTCAAAACCAGTGTTTTGCCAAATGTTTTAGTGAATTATTCGCATGAATTGTAATGAAATGGGGAATAATATTTATTTTTTATATTATATAGAGTTTTACTTTTTCCATCCTCTAAGGGTTGGACGGAGTTACTATTGACGTTATTCGGTTCAGGACTTAGAGGATGGAATAAAGAGTTCAGGAACACAGTGATACGTGAAAAAGGACTCTTTTAACTAGCAAAAATGCAACGTTCTTTTTTTGAAACTCATCATAGTTTTTTTTTTCGAACATGATATTTTGCGAATATGATATTTTGCGAATATGATATGATTATAATATGATTCAGTTCAGTAGCGTATACCATAGTCAATAGAATTTTGATTCAGAACTAAAAAAGGTGCCTTTGTTTATGAAATTACAATTAAATTAGTAGAAAAAAGTATAAAACACAAAACAACAACGTTTGTACTAGGTATACAGTCAATAACACGTTTAAGAACCTTGTTAAGCTTAATGTTGTGTTGCTAAAAACACTATTTTGTACTTGTAGAGATTTGTACAGAAAACAAAGCTACGCAGTAGGCATGCTCAAGAAAAATCAAGTTTTAATTAATACATGGTAGATTTAATTTTGTTTGCGCCATCTCTGAGTTACTTTATCATTTAATTTGGGTGAGTTCGCAAGTGCAGCTAATTGCACGCATGAGCCGTGGCAGCCCAATGTTTTGACCAACCGCCTCTCAAGCAGAAGCGCCGTG